TGAAAACACTGACATCTCATTTTTACAGATAATTACCAAAATTACACAAAAATATCTTGAAATACTAAAGAGTAAATTTATTTAATAAAAGCACCATTGGCTTCAACAACGGCCTCCCAACAACTTTGAAATCTCCTACAACTCTTCTGGACAGCCTCCTTGTTTAAGGCGAAATGCTGCCATAATCCTTGCCTTCAGTTCATCTTTGGTGTTACAAGGAGTTCTGCTGGTCTCACTCAACTGCACCCCCACATAATAATCATGGGGGTTGCAGTCTGCGGAGTTACATGGCCAGAGGTATTGGGTTATGTGGTCTCAAAAATTGTCTGGCAGCCATGATCGGGTTCTCCTGCTTGTATAGCATGGTGCAGAGTCCTGTTGCCAGGCATGGGGTCTTCCAGCAGCCACCCTCTTGATCCAGGGCATCACTATCTCCTCAAGGCACTTGATGTAGGCCTCTGTGTTGAATCTAAGGCCCCACCAACAAATTTGGATGGTCTTTTCTACTAAAATGATCAGAGTAGAGTTTGCAGAGCTGTTATACCTTCGTAATCACCATTAGATTCATCCAACTCTTTCCGAATCCTCTGCACTATCCTCAAAATGACATCCAAACACTGAAATGTTTGTATTGGAGCTTCTGGCACAAATGCCAAGCAGTACAGTATGCCATTTCCAAATTTCTGGCAGAGTGAATTGTGGGCTCTTTTACTCACAGACAGTGTCCAACTGATACTACCGTGCATCCGAAAAAAATCGGAAACAAACAATGCAAGAAATTAAAAATATAAAATGGCATCAATTTACCCATCACACCCTGTACATATATCTATATAATAAATGTGAATGTCAGTGTGTCACTGCATCACACTTTTTCCTCTTTACTTCTAGAGGCAATAGCCCAACATATTTTGGAATCGAGCCAACTGTGAGCAAATTAAAAACATTCCATTCCAGATCCAGGCCCACAATCTTGAAATTTTGTATTCCCTAGTTTTTGTTATTGTGATTGTTTTTGGCATTTTTTTTTTTTTTACATGATCTTTTTACAACAAACTTTTTTTGTATGATAATTTTTATAACTTGGAAATAAATTTGGGAATAGTTGAAATTAATTGTGAAATTCAGCAAGAGTCAGCCATGAAATAAAAATTGTTTGTATGGAAAGTAAGAACCTACATACATCAAGTTGTCTTTAAATTAAGTGGCAACAGAAGAATTAGCACTGAACTTTTGAAAGATAAGCTTAAATATTAATGCAATACTTGAATGCAATGATCAGATTTGAGTTTTGATATAGTTTATTGTTGTCTATCACATCTACTCCTCCCTACCTATTGTGATGAAGGCCCAATTAAGATCCCTCCACAGGAGCTAGTTTAAATTGGCTTTTAAGCTTTATATATATATATATATATATATATATATAGAGAGAGAGAGAGAGAGACGTGTATAAATAATATTACTGTGTGGAACAATTATATAGTAAAAAAACATTATTAGAAGTCATTTTAATATAAATTTCAACAAAGTATCCTTATTTTAATTTGGTAAATTGAGCACTCCTATTTCTAGGTTATATATTATTTATTGAGTGATTCAGCTTATCAAACATTTGTAGATTATTTAAAGCCTGAAAATAATTTTAGATTGTAAGAATTTGTGGGGAGGAGAGATAATAATGGTTTAGTGATACAAGTCTTAGTAATTAACCCATAGTTGGTGGAAAAAGAATATTTGTGCATAAGTGAATATAACAAACTCAACTAGAATTGAAACTCTGCTCTCCGATTAACAATTCAGAGCCATTATCTATTACACCACCTGCACATCCAAACTTACACCATATGGTATTCCCAAGTGGTTAAATATCTAGGTATTGACCAGTCTTGACATTGCTTACTTTCAGCGACCATACATGAACCAGTATTTCAGCATGATGCGGCTGTAAGTCAGGTTATATATTAACATAGATATTTACTTTATATATATCTGCAGTCTCCGTAACACTCCTAATACAACATTCACTTGCAAAAAAATTCTTCTTACAATCAAAAATATGTTTCAGCTTTAAATAACCCACAAAGAGTTGACAAGTTGACAAACTGTAAGATACAAATCAATAAGTCATCCAATACAAGGCCTAAGAGCCACTCAAGGTAAAGAGTTACTGAATGAATGAGGTTACTGCAATGGTGTCAAGGGAGGTGGTAAAAGTGCATATTATGCTGATATGTAGGATAGATAACACTTGAACATAGACTTAAGATTGTAGTGATAAAGGAAGCATCTTCTTGGGAGTTTGTTCTACAAAGTAAGAGTTCTGTGGAAGAAGCTGTTTAAGTGGAAGTTCCTCCTTAGCAATAGAATGCGGGGGGGGGACCCTAAACTTGAAGAGGTTAAAAAATCGTAGTGATTGGGAAAACATCTCGAGGGGTCTACCCACAATTGTTAACATTGAATTTATTTCGTTTAGTTTGAATTTGATTAATAATAATTAAAAAAAATAAAATAAAAACATTAAAAACTTGAAATTTTTCAAAATTTTAACAGACACCTCCACCGTACTAAGTCTCTAGCTAGATAGGGAGGGAGGGAGTATTGAACTTTTAGCCAACCTACCTCCTCAACCCCCATCAAAGATATTTGGTGACAAGTCAAAGTAAATGTATTTCCTTTTATTATTTTGTATTCAATTATTCTAAAAAAAAATAAAAAAGCAAGAACTCGTTCCCTGCGCAAAACAAAAAAATAAGACTTTGTCACTGTCAGCTTCAAATTTATGCAACAGGTTGTCACCATTCTTGCTTCATTTGACAGAATCACAGACTGTTTCAGTGTTTAGTTTACTGTTACAATTTAACGATCATTTTCTTTTTTTACTATTCTCATAGCAAAAGAAAATCTGGAACCTAGATTTTCTTTAAACAATCAGATATATATTCATCACACTCAAAGTTTACCGTGTCAAATTCTACAACTGTTTTTTAATCAATGAGTAGTTAGTTACCAATGGTGAGGCTTGTTTATCTCACAATCACATCTCTCTCTCTCTCTCTAGTCGGATCAGATTTCAAACGATTTCCCTCCTTGTGTAATTTTTAGAGAATCCTAAAATGGCATCGTAGTTTCTACCACATGTAGTAAATAACTTCTCAATCAAAGTATGCAAGATATTGATTAGACATCTAAGCTGTCAGTAACTCCCAATACACGTGAAATGACCCCAACTTTTTTAAACCAAAATAAAAGATGATTTAAAAAAATTTTTCAAAAAAGAGGAAAATTTCGTGAAATAGTTTTTCTTTTTTATAACCAGTATTCTAATATTTTTTTTTACATTTAGAAAACTTAAAAAATTGATTATTAAACTGCTGACAAGTTAACGATTCTAAATAAACATGCTTCTTTTTTTTTTAGTCTTTTACGAAGACACTTTCAAAGAGTGAGTATCAGGTTCTCTCATCTCCAATTAAAAGGCAACATCACCATATAGGTGTTATTGTTACCTTCTTGTGGTGGCATGACAAGAGTGTCTATGATAAAGAAAAATTATGAATAATTGTAAAAAAAAAAAAAAAAAAACTTTAAAAAAAATGAATAAATGTGTGTGTGTAAAAAAGGTCGCATACGTGTATTATTTGGGAAGATGCACCTTTTAGAGATGACGTGTTAGTTAAACTATCGGATTTAAAAGCGACAACATTTATAATGAATGTGATTGCTGTTTTTAGTTTCATTTTTTTTTTAAACCAAGTAACGAATTTTACATTGTTTATTTGTACTTTTTTTTTTTTTTTTTTTACCCAACCGATCTGAAATGCATTATTCTTCTTAAATTATTTAGTTATTTTGATACGTACCCTTTAAAAAAGTTATTTACAAAATGTTTATCACAATCAAAATATGCCATTCCTTCCTTGTTATGTCGTTTTCTTAGAAACATAAATTGTTTGATCGTACCTATTTCAAGAAAAAACGTGATTACGGTCTAAAAAGTAACAAATGAAAAAAAAAAAAAATAGATGTGTAGGAGAAAGTAAAGCAAAAAACAAAAAAACGAAGGATTTTCTCAGCTGGTTTTATATTTTGGAGGATCTTTTAAGTTTTTTTTTTATTATTAATATTATTATTATTTTATGGAAGTAAATGCGATACAATCAAGTGTAGAGAGTCAACTGCCAACTCAAAAGAAAATATTTGCAATAATGATCATCATAATTATTGGAAAAAATAGAAAAACAATCTGTTTTAATCTAAAAAAATACTTTTCTCTTTGTAAAAATCTATCGTAGCCGAAGTAAACAAACGTTAGAATTTCAAATTTGGTGACTAAAAAAAAGTCATAATAGAATTTTAATAAGGAGCAAAGTTGGAGAAATAAATTGTCGAATAATAAGTTTCAACAAAAAGTTCAATTTTTAGTTATAACTTATAATTTGGTGTTGTTAGTTATTAATAACTTACATGTGTTTTAAAATCAAGACACGTAAAACTAGGCTACATAAAATAAACATGTAAAAAAAAAAAATAAAAAAAAATGCTTAGAAATTAAGAAATAAATTTGGGTCCAAACTGAAGAAATTGTGTTTATGAATTTATAGAAAACTACAATATGGTTTATTATTTTTTTAATGATTCATTTATTTAGTATTGTTTTTGTTGCTAAAAATTGTTACATTAAGAAGAATAAGTCATTCTCGAAGAAATCATTTATACCTAAATCAATTTAAAACTATATAAATAAACAAAACAGTGTTAAGTAAAAGTACATATCGGGACTTAACCTCTTACTTTTTAGTTTATATTTAATTTTTCTTATTGAAATCGACCCACTCAAAAAAGAATCCTAGAGATGGGATACAGGATGAGGTCCTACTAAATATGTTCAAAATATCCGGTTTACAACAAAAATTATCGCATATTTTAGTGTACAAATGACCAGCTATTCTCTATAAATACAAAAATTAAGCATTTTATAAACAATAGTCTATTCTTACCGGCATTTTTGTAGTTTTAGAATCCCCTCTTTCCTAAGCAACACTGAGTAAATAGGCTATCTTAACATTACTACTGCAGATAATAGTAATAATGGTAACGGTAATGATGACAATTCAAGGGAAAAGTGAGAGTAGAAATTATAAAGATGGTAGGAGGAAAAGAACTGGCCTAGTCCATCATCTTGTTGGGGTGGCAGGCACGGTATATTGTGTAGTAAATCTTTTTAAATATGATTTTCTTTGGATTAATAAACAATTAAAAATTATGGTAGATATAAACAGATTTATATTTCGGTTAACAGTAGAAATTTCTACATTTTAGAATCGTATTTCTAGCAACTTTCTATCGTTTTTTTTCCAAGTTATCAGTTCGAAAAAAATCACTCCCGGCTAAAAACTGTTTTAAAATTGAAGTTTGCAAATTCAGCATGGGACAAAGTTTACGTTTCCGGGTTGCTGATTCTTTAAAATTAGATAAAACTAAACTTTTTTTTTGACAAGACTGAATGTGCAAAAAAATTGATGACCTCGAGCATAATATGAAAACAGATAATCTTCATAAAATAAATAAAAGTATCCATATTATGAAATAAATAAAATAAAGTATCCATATTATGAAATTTTCTCATATAAATTTCAATGATTTTAAAATAGAAAACAGAAAACTGGTCTTTCCTTTTCCATCTTGAACAAATATTTTATTTTATTCTTCCTAATTCGTAATTGAATTTCATAAAGAAAATAAAAACTGAATTAATTCTCTAAAAATTAAAACTATCATTCAAAGGAGAACAAAAAACGGATTCTTACAGGCACTGCAACCAGAGATCATTTTTTTTACCATTTTTTTTTTTTTTTTTTTTTGTCATAGCACTCCAAATCACGAATAAATATAGTTTTATAAAAATTAATAGGGAGTTCAGCTTACTGTATAAATTGATAACCATACGGAAGCCAAAACAAAAGGTAAACCAAATAAAAAATAAATGATTTGAAATTCGTAATCTGGAGTCTTATTTTATTACTGAAAAAAATATAGTAATTGTGGTACAAGGCCAAAAGGGGAAGTGGGGAAAGGCTGGTCTCTGCTAGTGCTAACTATCCTAGTGCTAGTTAATTAGCAGATTATAATAAGTAACAAGAGTAAATCTGTATCAACAATTGTACAAAAACACTTCTTTGTAAAGATATTTGTTAAGCCAACTTTGGATACATTGTTAGAAAAAGAATTGATTGAAGGAAGCTTCTTGTCTTTTTCACTTACACACGGAGTATTTATATAAAAAGAAAAAAACTCAATAAAGAATGCCGGTGGAGTTGTACTGCAACCAAAAATATACATTTTTAAAAAATTTTCTTCATAATTACTATAAGCACGAATATTAGAAAAATTAAATTTTAGAAAAAGTTAAGATTGGTCTCATATCACGTAATTTCTTGAAATTAAAATTATTTATTTTTGAAATTCATAAATCTAGTGCTTAAATCGATAAATGATTAAAAAAAGACTATTGTGGTTATCTAGAATAGAAGTGAATAAATATTTGTAATTTTCTTACTTCTGTTCATATCTATTTTTGAATACTGAATTCAAAATCATGAAGAAGGTAATGGGAAACCACTTAGCTAACTTTCCCAAGAAGTAATAACAATTCACAGATAATAACAAAGTAAGTCTCTGGTGAGCCATAATCGTCCATGCCCTGCTGAGATTTAAAGGTAAAAGAAAATGCAATAAAACAGCTGATGCTGTTCCCTAAAGAGGACTTTTATCAATTTTTAGAAAGCATAATAAGAGATGCTAGGATAAATGATTGAAATCCTAGATTGGGGATAGGGGTTACTTTGAAGAGTATTAAGATGCCATTAACTTAGGTAGGTTATTTTCATTAATATTAAATAGCTGTCATTTCTGGGCAAACAATATACATACATATATATATATATATTAAAAAAGGATCAAACACTAATATTCATGTTTGAGCCTTTTTTCTTATATTCTTACTCTGTCCTGGACATTGAGTTCTACCTGGATTCTATCCTCTTGGAAATTTATTTATATAATATATGTATATTGACCACTAATATTATCTATCTATCTATCTATATATATATATATATATATATAATAAATCTGACAAGTATAATTTCTTATACTTAAGATTAAACTGGACAAGTATAATTTCTTATTTAAGATTAAATTATATATATATATATATATATATATATATATATATATATATATATATATATATATATATATATATAAAAGAAAGAACAGTAAGATATAAAATCCGGTGTTCTTATAGATATTTTTATTTTTACAAAATAGTGCTCAATGTAAATTTACAGAGCATTAATATTATAAATTAATTGATTTAAAATATGGTTTTTTTTCCCTACACAGTTCCAACCATGTTTCAAAAATAGAAGCTAAAAACCCCGAATTTAATTTTGCAATTAAATTAAAAGCATTAGTTCCATTTCATCTTCAAGCGAATTTTGGAGTAACTTTTAAAAATTACCGGGTTTTAAAGACACGGCTAAAATCACGTTTCCATGGTTACAGAATATTCTACTTAAATTGAACAAGGCATGTCTAGATTTTCCTCATGTCAGTATCATTGTATCAGTTATTAGCTACAATTTGGTAAGGGGTAGGGATGTATTTTACAGTGAAACCTGACATCAGTTGAATGGATGTCGTCTGAATTTTTTTTTTTTTTTTTTTAAATTGTTAACGGTAAAAAAATTTCAACGTCAATTTTTTAAATTTAAAGATTTTCGGTTTTTTTTTTTTTTTTTTTTTTTTTCCTAATACTTTTTATTTAACTACGATTTGAAATATTCTCCTTTTTAATTTTTATTTTACTATATTCTTTTTAAGGACAGTTAAATGTATTAGAATCCATTATATTATGTAGGATTATTTTAACATCAAGTTTAAGTATGTATATGAGGTTACATTTTTTTTTTTTTTTAATTTTTTTCTATGACGGCAAAAATGGTTACTTAATTTCACTGATTTAGTAAACTTTTATTTTATATATAAACCTAGTATTATAATGTTTCTCATGTAAGTACTAAGGACATGGGTCATTCAAAAGCTTATGGCATTTCATAATTTTATTTTACTATAGGTGTTTTTTTTGGATTCTTTTTAGTGCGTGTAGTATTATTTAAAAGAAATTTAGGTTAGAATTCATTCAATTTAACTACAATTTTAATTACAATTTCAAAATTACAACTTTAAAATTTTAAAATATTTTCATTGTTTAGTTTTAATAGACTATATTTCTTTATAATAGAAGGAAAATTACTCATAGTAAGTAAAATTATTTTTCTATATCAAAGTATATGTAAATTACAATTTTTTTTTTTTTTTAAACTTTTAAATTTAAATATTATTTAAGTAATATTAATGGCACTTACTACAAAACTAGCTAACTCTCAGATTTAGTAAACTTTATTTATTAATTAATTAATTTATTTATTTCAAATATATGTAACCTAAGTAATAAAGTTTCATATGTATGTATAAAGAACAGGTTAGAATTCATTTTATTTAACTACAATTTTAATTACAATTTTAAAATTACAACTTTAAAATTTTAAAATATTTTCATTGTTAGTTTTAATAGACTATATTACTTTATAACAGAAGGATAATTATTTCATAGTAAGTAAAATTATTTTTCCATATCAAAGTATATATAAATTACAATTTTTAAACTTTTATATTTAGATATTATTTAAGTAAAATTAATGGCACAGACTACAAAACTATCTAAGCCATTTCTCAGATTTAGTAAACTTTATGTATTAATTCAAGTTTAAGTATGTATATGAGGTTACATGTTTTTTTTTTTGTTTTTTTTTTATTAAATTTATGATGACTATGACGACAAAAATGGTTACTTAATTTCACTGATTTAGTAAACTTTTACTTTATATATAAACCTAGTAATATAATGTTTCTCATGTAAGTACAAAGAACATGGGTCATTCAAAAGCTTACATCTTATGGCATTTCATATTAATTTTATTTTACTATAGGTGTTTTTTTCTGTAACCATGGAAACGTGATTTTAGCTGTGTCTTTAAAACCCGGTAATTTTTAAAAGTTACTCCAAAATTCGCTTGAAGATGAAATGGAACTAATGCTTTTAATTTAATTGCAAAATTAAATTCGGGGTTTTTAGCTTCTATTTTTGAAACATGGTTGGAACTGTGTAGCGAAAAAAAAACATATTTTAAATCAATTAATTTATAATATATATATATAAAAGGTGTATTTTGACAAGAATTCTTTCAAACATGTTTTGTTGAATTAATATCAACAAGTTCTGTCTATCTAATCTTTGACTAACTTTTTCAATTTCTGAACAAGTTATTTTATATAATCAGTAAATTTAGCAACATTTAATGATTATTTAAAACAACTAATGTAGAAATTTGAAAAGCTAATCAAAAATTTCATAGATAGAATTTGTTGATATTCTTCACCCAAACATATTTGAAAATATATATATATATATATATATATATATATAAAAAGAAAGAACAGTAAGATATATAATCCGGTGTTCTTATAGATATTTTTATTTTTACAAAATAGTGCTCAATGTAAATTTACAGAGCATTAATATTATAAATTAATTGATTTAAAATATGTTTTTTTTCGCTACACAATTCTAACCATGTTTCAAAAATGGAAGCTGAAAGCTTCGAATTTAATTTTGTAATTAAATTAAAGACATTAGTTCCATTTCATCCTCAAGCGAATTTTGGAGTAACTTTTAAAATTACTGGGTTTTAAAGACACAGCAAAAATCATAATTCACGTTTCCAAGAATACAGTGAAATTCAATTCAACTAGACAAGGGGTGTTTGTATGTTCATTATCGCTGTATTTAGATGTATAGTTACGTTTTGGTAGGGGTAGGGATGTATTTTTCAATGAAATCTGACATCCGTTAAATGCATGTCATCTGGATTTTTTTTTA